AGGTTAAAGTGTCTTCACAGTGACTGCTGAAGGGCACAGAACATATCAGTGGTTGCTGCTATACAAGCACCCACATCTTTTGAACATCAGTGCTATGATGTTGCTCAAGTATATGACAATGAGCTGGTTGTAATCTGAAACTGGAGACTGCTTGATGGTAATGGCCAGGGATGTAGATTAATATAGTCCAGTGCCCACTGCTTCTTGCCTGCCTGCCTGGCCATCAGCTCTAGCAGTTCACCAAACTGAACCAACAAGACAAAGTCACTGATATATTCAGGTTGCAAAGCAAAATGGCATTCAACTCCATGCTACTAACAGTTGCCTCCTGAAGCTTATCCAGCAACCAATGAATGCTGAACAGCCATGATAACAGGACACAGCCTTGTTGAATTCCCATTGAAATAGTAAAGCATGCCATGTATCTGCCGTTGACTTGAACACTGTTTTCCATTCTGTGATTCATCTCTGAGCAAAAGTATTGCCAAGCTTAAAATGAACAAAGGTATTGTCAGTGTTAGGCCTTAAACTTCCACTTTGCAAAGATAAAAAAAGGCACGCTTTGCAGAGGTGAAGAGGGCAAGATTTGCAGAAGTAAGCTAAGACTTGTGGTCAAAACGCGCTGCAACCAGATAACACATTCTAACTCCTATAAAAGGAGATAAGTTGTGCCCCCGGGCACAGCTTGTCTAACTCACAACTACAACAATTGGCTACAAGAAAATAAGTAAGTATAAATTATATGGTCAAAGTGACACAAGGAGATAAGTAAGCATAAATTATACAGCCAAGGCGACAGCGCTAACCACAATAAAGATTTGGCTAACCCTAATTGGTTGGTCTGTTTTAAGACATGGCGGACAGATCAGATAAGAAGTACGAAGGCATGGGACTGTGTGTGCATTTTGGTCATAAAGGAAACCTGACCCACACCCCCTGAAACGAAGGGACGTGCACTTCACGACCATCTGTACCTGGCCAGTGCGGAAAACGGCCAACTGAAAGGTAATGTATTCTCGGCGAATGCATGGTAACGTTATGGAGTAAAGAAGTCTGGTTGCTTGGGCAGAATTGATCTCAAGTTGTATCGACACTATAGTGTTAAGATAGTAGTAAATAGCTAATGAATAATAACTTTACATGTACTTGTGCTTGTCTTCAGTATAACTTGCCATTTATATTAATCCTTATTCAGTGCTGGTCTTTAATCTTGCTTTTCTTAGTTGCTTTGTCTGTGTTGCCTTTATAGTCGAAAGTCATTTAAAACCTTTTTGGAGGAATAATCAGTAGTTTTAATTTTTCTTATACGGGCACTACTCAACCTCATTACATCTGTGTTGGGTGGTGGGAAGCAGTGATCACCCAGGGCCCCGTTAGGGTCCTGACACGTGCCTCCCTCTTCATCTCCGCACATTCCAGTACAGAGCTCTTCTATCAATGGCACTATCTTCCAAGGGACACTAAGCTGTCTCATCAGATCCTACAAGCTTGCTCAATGTACTGAATCATAGCTTGATGGAATTTATAAAAAGCACTGCACACATCTTATTTAATTCAGCCATAAATGTAAAGTAATTGTTTTCACAAGAGGCAGGCTTCTCTATCCATGAGTGAATTGCAAAATCAAGCCTTAGTGCATAGGCTACATATTTTCAGCATTTCTCACTAAACAGGGATTAATGCACATGTATACATAGTGTGTATGACGTTATATGATAATGGTACAGAGTCCCAGAAAGGTACTTTCTTCTAATACTGTACAATAAATATTTTGTTCCTGCTTCATTGCAGTTTCTGTCTAGAGCCTTCACCCAACCCCTCCTCCCTAACTACCTGCTACAGACTTAAAGAAAAATACCTGTATTCATAGGGCTATATCTGTATTAAGGGTTTTCCTATGGGGAAGTGGATGCATATCTCCTAAGCTGTGCCTGCCCTCAAACTGGTTGTGTGTGAGCTGCGCAATTAAAGTATATCAAACAGAAGCACGAGACACTTTACTTGTAACCTTTATTTCTTAGATTCCTCGACAATCTGGAATAAAAAATTACTTCTTTTTCACTTTGGCAACACTTGTACAGGGTATGTAGCAATCGGTCTATCGGGGATCGACTTACCGCGTCTCGTGAGGACGCGGTAAAATCGATCCCTGATCGCTCTGCCGTCGACTCCAGAAATCCACCTCGGCAAGAGGCGGCAGCGGAGTCGGCGGCAGCGGTCGGCTTTCCACCGTCCTCACCGCCAGGTAAGCCGACCTAAAATACGCAACTTCAGCTACGGTATTCACGTAGCTGAAGTTGCGTATCTTAGGTCGGACCCCCGCTGTAGTGTAGACCTAGCCACAGTTTATCAGGCATTACAGTAATGGGGTGTCGGAATGCGCTCTCCACCTCTCCTTCGCTTGGATAATAAGCAGCAGCTCCTCAACAGCTGCCCCTTCTCCTTGGCAGGTGCAACAAACGCTTTCCCTCCTGTTTCAATCTACTTTAGCCATTACTTGTCATGTCCATAAACCCGTACTGAATTGACTCCAGTAGATCCTGTTACATATAGAATAAAGGGTGAAGAGGAATTGTACAGAAAGCTGGAAGAAGATAATGGCAGGAAATTGGTTTTTGGGTTGACAAAAAAGAGGAACACTGAAATAAAATATGAAAAGATCTTTGTGTGAAGGATGGGAACTGTATGGTGACTAACCCTAAAGAGGTGATAAAGGTATGGAAAAAATATTTTCAAAGGCTGTTAAATGAGAAGAGAGGGTTGTGAGTGCAAGAACTGCCAGCAATTATGAGGAACCCTCAAGAGGTATTGATATCTGTGAGGGAGATAGAAGAAGCACTAAATAAAATGAATGCCAAAGCAGCTGGTGAAGATGAAATAACAGTTGATATGATCAACGCAGTTGAATATACTGGAGTAAAGTGGTTTCATAGATTACTATGTGTTTGCGGGATCAAGCAAAGATGATGACTGGTTGTGCCTCTTTGGAAGGATAAGGGTGATGCAAATGATTGGAGCATCACCCTGTTAAATGCAAATGCAAAGTCCTTGAGAGAGTTCTGGAGGGAAGACTGAGGGGCAAGGAGGAAAATAAAAGAGAGGAGCAACATGGCTTTAGGAAGGGAAGGAATACTATAGACAGTATTTGCAATAAGACAGAAGTCTGAAAGAACGATAAATGGAAGGCATAACTTAGAGCATATATTGATTGTGAAGAAAGCAAATGACGTGGTTCTGTGGAAGCTGGTGTTTGGAGTATTGAGATCAATGGGTGGGGGACTTCAAGAAGTGGAGATAGAGGTGTTGAATTAAGCATGGTAACAGTACATGGAATTTCACAGAGTTTTGATGTGGTGGCATGATTGAGACAAGAGTGTGCTGACTCCACTTACCTTCATACTCGTTATGGAGTTAAGTAGGATAACCAAGCCTGTGGAGAGGCAAAGAAAACTAATCTATGCAGATGATCTGGCCCTTTTGGTTAATAGCAAAGAGGAATTGGCAAATATGGTATCAGAGTGAGTGTACGTTTGAAGACCATGATTTGAAGGTAAACACAAAGAAAACTGAAGTTATGCAAATAGGAAAATAGAAGAAGAGCTGTTGATTGAAGTTTCAGGAGACAAGTTGAAGCAGAGGAAAAAAATTGAGTACATGGGAAATACACTTAGTACCATCAGACAGAGATTTGAAAAAATGAAAACAAGAACCCAATGTACATGGGCAACAGTGAAAAAGGGGGCAGGAGTACTGTGGAACTGGCAATTAAGTAACAAACAAAGGAAAACTGTATGCTGTGTGTGTCTGTCCCAGCCTGCTCTATGGTTTGGAAATGGAGGGTCTCAGGGAGATGGCGGAGAAAAAGAGGATACAAGTAGTATACAAGTAGGAGGAAGATGGACTTGGGACTCGCAATGAAAGCATATGGTTGAGGTGGGCTGGACATGTGATAAGAATGGGAGAGTGACCAGGAAAGAAGGCATAAGAGATAGAAGAGACCAAAAAACAGTGTGGAAGACCAAAGATATGATGATGAGACCTTTGAAGAGAAAAGGACTGGAATCCGAACACCTACAAACCCATGCCCTGGACCCCAAGGAGTGGCCAAGAACGGTGGGCACCTCCAACCTCATGTACATGGGAAAAGGAGTCAAGAAACAAAGGTTTCTGCTGTGGGTACTGCCTTTACCTGCACTAGGTGCTGGGTCTGCTGTGAAGGTGGGCCTTGCTGGAAGGGGCAGCGGGGTGTCTAAGGCTGGGGGGCGGACTGTGTACTGTCTGGCAATGGGCGGCGTACCTCCCTCGTAGGCCTCGGACCCCTGGGTGGGGTCCAGGGGCTGAGGGGTAGCTAGGTGACGCCTCCCCTGAGCCCGTTGATGCGCGGGGGGAGGGGGCGTAGCTTAGCGGGTGTGAGCGTGGACTCGGTGAAATCCCGCCTCCGGATGGAAGCGGAGCCGGAAGCTGGCAGCGCGGGACGTTTTGATCCTGCCCTTGGATTCGGACGTTCGGCCCAGGAATGGCTGGTACCACTGCCGAGTAACAGCGCGCGACACCTACCCCAGAGACCGCTCGTTGGGCGCGGCCATTTTGAACCGTGGTAGCAACCAATGGGTGAGCGAGCACCAGTAGTCACGTGTTAAGGGGCGGTTGGGAAACCAAGGAAACCTCCCCACGCGCTCGCCGCTGTCTGATAGCTACGAAGGGGGAGGGACCCGGGGTCGGTGAGTCCGGCTGGCTGGGCTTGCGGTGGAGGTGGCGTGCTGCGGGGGCAGAGGCAGAGAGTGCGGTACAGAAGAGTCTATGGGGAGATAGGGCCCGAGGGCAGGGGCACGCGTGGGCGCTGGGCACGGGCCTGCCGGGGCTAAGTAGGGGCGAGCGCGCCAAGAGGGCGGGTGGTATAAATCTGTGAGCCGGGGGGGTCCGCCGTGACCACGCTTATTGGGAGCGTGAGGGGGCGCGCGCATGTCTGGCAGCGCTAAGTGTGGGCCATGTGTGTGTCCTGGTGGGTCTCTGCCAGTCGTGCATATTTGCGACTGATTTTGAACTTGCAGATGGCGCTCGCTGTTTGGTTGCAGTGACTTCTTTGAATCTGGAATAAAGGCTCCCAGTCTGTTTCCGTTCCTGGCTGGCGCTAGGAGATCAGGTCATTCAGAAGTGAAGGGTTGTACAGTTCTGGAGAGGGGCGTACTGTGAGATCAGAACGAGAGAAAAGCTGGGATCAGCCTAAGCAGAGGTCAGTCACTTCCTGATCCCATTCTACACACATTCGGGTTTGGGGCTTTGCCTGTAACGATACAGATTCAAGTTATGCTGCTTTAATAAATGATTTATTGGAACAGTTCATTGAACGTGTAGAACATGAATAGTTTTCTGTGGTTGGATCTTATTACATACATTATTTGCTTATGATATAAAACTCAGCATACTATACAGTATTATAAGGATCTTTTTAACAGCAAGGAAAAAGACAAACATTTGTTTAACAGCAGGGATGCTAGCTTTTGAGTGCATTTTGCACACATAACTTTTGAACATTTTTCAGAGGTCCTGGGCACCTATAGCGTCTAGGGACTACAGATGGAGTTGTAAGGTTTAGCACTTGTGAAAATCAAGCCCTATGATAACGCTGGGTGGGAAGGGCCAGTGGCAGAAAGAAATCCATGATAAGAATGTTAGGGTTGTCTTTGATTAAAAAATATATATATTGGAAGTATATAATAGTCCTTGTCCTGGGAGGTTTAGTACATCATAGCCCACTGTCTGCTTTACCTTCATTTACAGTCATGTCTTCAACCTGCAAGGCAATAAATTCCTGATACACTTATACATATATACTTATGTTATATTGTCTACAAAATTAACACCCAATCTGTGAGGAAAGGGAAGCAAAGTTGGACCATGTTCCCTCTTGTTGGTATCACTTATAATTGTCATAAGAGGCAATTCAAATCTTTCCTAGTAAGTTTTTCCAAAAGAAGCATATAAAGCTGTAGTTTCTGCTGAAGGTGCTTCTTAATTAGATTGTGCCTGAGCTGTCAGTAAAACAGATGTGAAAATACAGTGCCCTGTTTTTGAAGTCTTCCTGAATCTTACAGCCTACAAGTAAATAAATGGAAGACTGTGCTTACTCCTGACTCTTCCTTGCAAGAAATATGAGAAAGTGGTTGTGTGAGAGATGCAGTGACTTAGTGTAACTTTTATATGCCTAATAGTTTAAAAAAAAAAATCAGATTATTGTATCTAAAAGTGGAGGAAGTGGTTGACACTCTGAATAGCCAATGTAGTGGCATGGTGTTGGATTTTACAGTTGGGTATTATTGGTTATGGAAGCATAGGGGTTTGCTTGTGTTTGTTTTGTTTAAGGCCAGGTTAGTGTGTTCATATTCTATGTCTGTGTGTAACCATCAACTTCTTGTCACATAAAAACATCAGTATTTGCTTAATCTCATGCAATGGTTGGTCACAATTTCTAGTTCGGGAGGAACTGTTAGGAAAAATAGAAGTTTCACGCCTTGATGGAGATGTAATAAATGCAAAGTATGTCATTGCAACACACAAATTGTCCAGTCAGCTTTTATATTTCCAAACACTTTTTCAAATTATTTCTGTAGGTACTATCAGTACAGGATACTTGAGGCTTATTTGCACTTACAGTGCCGGAGCAGCATAGCCGCTGTACTGCTTAGTGAAGACTCTGCCTACGCCGTCGGGAGAGCTTCTTCTGTCAGTGTAGGTTTTCCACCTCCCCGAGCGACAGTAGCTATGTCGATAGGAGAAGCCCTCCTGTCAACATAGTGCTGTCTACATCAGGAGTTAGATCGGTATTACTATGTTGCTCAGTGTAGTGACATAATTATACTGACATAAGTTTGTAGTGTAGATCAAGGCTCAGTTTTGATTCATGTATAAAATTCCCATAACTCTTAAAATCTTTGATGCTCTGAGCATCTCCAATCTCAGGATGGTCCCAGAACCTTTTGTTGGTCTCATTATTTGTATTATGGTACAGGGTGGATTTGATTTAAATCACTAGGAAGACTCGATTTAGTCATGGATTTCTACATAAAAGTGCATTCTTGTTGGTTGTTATAACCTTAATACATATTCTTCATAACTCAGAGATAGATGTAGGTTTCATTTTTAGAAGGTACACACAATACATTTTTAAAGTGATTTATTTTGAAAACTTTTCAGATTAGTTTTACAACTATATCAGAAAATGAATGATTGTTTGGTTATTTCATTTATCATAGACAATGAGGAGTCCAGTGGCACCTTAAAGGCTAACAAATTTATTTGGGCATAAGCTTTTGTTGGTAAAAAGCACAAAAGCTTATGCTTATGCCCAAATAAATTTTAGTCTTTAAGGTGCCACCGGACTCCTCGTTGTTTTTGTGGATACAGACTAACACAGCTACCCCTCTGATACCATTTACCAAAGGTAATTGAAGCAGATAGTTCACCTCCCAATGGCTTCATAAATAACTCCAATTCAACAGGTTAATCATTAATATATGGAGGATTTTCTTGCCATGCTGTATTAGGAAGAGAACATCACCAGACAGACATTTTAAATTGTTTTATTTAAATAAAACAACAATGTTATGTATTCTGAATTTTTTTCTTCAACAGCAAAGATATAATATTTTAACAAAACAAGCATATGAACTTTTGAATTTAGTTAAAAATTCAAGTTTTTTAAAATCAGGTTTGTTTTTGTTAAAATTGTTTTTAACTAAAATAGTTAAGTTAAAATTAAATCGACTATGTCAGCCAGGTCAACATGAGAAACTTAAAATATTGGCTTCTGCAGCTAACTCCGTCGTCTTCACTTTCATTTTCCTGTTTGTTCATAATCTGGAAAAGAAAAGAAAAACAAGCTTTCCTGCCTTTTCAGGTCCCAAACGATTTCTCAATTTGGAATGAATTAGTCTAAAGGAAGAAAATATTCTTTCTACACTGGCAGAAGAAGCTACTGCTGTTAAAAGTGAGATTATCACTTCAATAGTCTCTGACTCCAAGTGCTTAAGTGACTTCCACCAGTTCACTGTTGTGACTTTCTTTAAAACATCATCAGCAAACACATATTTCTTGAATGGTTCACCCTTCGCTCTGAAGTTTATTATAGTTGGCATTATGGAGGGATGGTTGCTGGATGTCCATGTCATGGCCAACTCCTCTTCTTCAGCAGTTAAGGTTTGACCCTGGTACCGAGTATTGAGAATATTTCCATGAAAATGAGCTGCAGATAGTGCTTGTCCCATTTGTTTTTTTAATGCTTGTAATTTAACTCTGTCATTGCATATTTCTCTTTTTAAGTTCTCACTCAGTTCCTTCCAATAAATACTGTATCTATAGTATTCCTTCCCTTCCTAAAGCTATGTTGCTCATCTCTTTTATTTTCTGGCCAATGGGAACGTCGGGGGAGGTGCCCACAGGCAAGGGCAGCGTGCAGAGTCCTCTGCCCCCCTCCTCCCCCAGGGGCCGCAGGGATGTGGTGCCGGCCGCTTCCCCGAGCAGTGCGTGGCGCACAGCGCCACAGGGGTGGCAATCTTGTGGGCTGGATCCAAAGCCCTGAGGGGCTGGATCCGGCCCGCGGGCCGTAGTTTGCCCACCCCTGCTCTAAACCTTTTTCACACTGCTCAGTTTCTCCTTCATACACTTTATCCAGCAATTTGCCTGCGACATCTGCTCTGTTGGGTGGACTGTATCCTAGTCTTAATGACTGAACCATGTTAATGAAGTGTGGGTTCTCAATCATATGGAAAGGAGACTATGTTGCATAAACAAACCAGGCAATTTTTTCATCAGTTACCTCTTTTTCTAATCTGCTGGTTCTTATCACAAACTTATCCATGGTTGTTTCTGGATGATAGCGGTTTTTTTTCTTCTTTTTGCTACAGGTGATATACTGTGGCTATGTGACATACATGATGTGACTGAAACACTGTCATTGGCAAATAACTCTGAAACTATAGAAAATGATGGTGATCTTGAAGGCGGATAGTCTTCAGAATCCTGTATGTTGAGGATGGATTCTCCTAAACAAAATAAGTCAATGCAGTTATTTAATTATTACCATGCTGCTCCTTTAGTATTACTCATTGCATTCACGGACACTCAGTACTACTTTAAAGGTGAAATTGTAAAAGGAAGATCTGCCTATTTCAGCTATTTATTTTTTTATCACAACTGCATCTAAAATGATAGTACCATAGAGTAACAACTATATTTTTGCTCAAATGTGAGAATTCAAGAATAGTCCAGAAGGAAGCCAGGCAGTCCTTAAGAAAGAAGTATGAAATAAAAAAGTTTACCAACCTGAAGATCCTGAATGGTCAGACATGTTTCTTTCATCATTTTCAACGCAGCTTCCTCCTGAGAAGAAACACTTCTCATGATGTTGTTTCATTCAGGCGGCCAGGCCTTGCATTTTTTTGTTGCACTGTTTGCATTTTGCAGGCATGCCTGTCTTACCCACAGGTAGAGGAACTTCATTAAAATATTCCCAAACTGGGTCTCTCTTACTGCCTGCTGCCATTGTAGATTTTCCCGTCTAGTGAGAGAATGGTATGGTAGATCTCAAATCAATGGAGGCTACAATCAGAAAGACCTCAAGACTTCTGGAATATGCTGCTCAAACAATTTCACTTTTGTTTCTACTGCCTGTCCCTCCCTTCTCACATTTATCTCCAGACTTCTTCTCCTTGTCCAGATCTATTTTGCCCCCAACAATCTTCTATTCATTGAACTTTTTGAAACTTTGCACTTTTAGAGAGAGGTAAGGGATTAACTCTGTGTACATAAATTTGCAGAGGGACGATAGGGTTGAGGTCTGTTATTTCTCACCTCTATATATTATTTATTTATTTAAAAACCTTTTTGCTGTTAACAAGCATGTTACCTCTGGAGACACACATCCACAGTTTGAGAACTGCAAAACTAAGCATCTCTGATGGTATCCTCTAGACTGAGCACTGAGTCCCATTGGGTAGATGGAAAGATTAATTTAAATAATCTATACAGAAGCCCCTGGAACCTCATAAGATTGGGTCCCTAATCCATGAACTATTGGAACTCATTTACAAAACTTTTTTTAAACAATACATGAATATATTGTCTCATACTATAGAATTAGAATTTATAATCCCTATTCCATGATGACATATCTTTGAGCTGTAATGTATCTTAGTTAAAATGAACTTTAGATAGGTTTTTTTTTCCTCAAAAAGCATTTTATCAAAAAAATCCGATTTAAAAAAAAATCAGATTTTTTTTTCTTTAAATCACTGATTTTTATCCACCCTGTTACAGCAGGCTAGAGACCCTAACCATGGATTAAGGCCCCATTGTGCTAGGTGCTATACCAACACATAACAGAAATACTTTGATCGTAAACTCTTCTCGTTCTAAGATGAGAGACACTGGTACATAGAGGAAGCACAGGGTAACAGTGAGATGATTACTCCAATTCTTTTAGAATAAGAACACTCAATTTCTGTTTTGCCTGCAGTCAGTGAAGCAGTTTCTCAGTGGCTGCAACTGACAAGTTCTGGTTTTGATTATTTTCTATAGTTGGACTATCCCATAGTAGTAGATTAGATTCCTGTCCAGCAAAGCACCTGAGCAGGTGCTTAACTTGGAATATGTGAGCAGTCCTAGGAGCAAGGATCTCCCTGTATGTATCTCATTGCTGGATCAGGACGTAAATCAGCACCAGCTTAAGGCATTGAGCGTTCCACAAGAAGCACCCAGCATGTGGGAGCATGGAGCCTTGAAAGGTTAGCTTTATAGTAGTTAGCACATTGACTACATCTGTGAAGGTATCAGTGTAAGGGTTTTTCTTTCCTTCCATCTCATTCAGTTGGGTAGAGTACTTTAAACATAATGATATTGTCTTTGTATATGTGCTGAATTTAGTGAATTGTTCGAATGTAAGCTTTATTCTGGCTTTTTTAATATTGTGTGCCCGTATGTTAATATTGAAAGCATGTAACATTAAATCTACTGTTCAATGGAATCAGTCTTTTATTTTTTTTCTTTCTCCCTCAGTTTAGAGAGAACCTCAGCACGTGAATAGAAATGATTGACTCAGTCAAAATAAGGAGACAGAGCACCTTGGATTTTTACTCTCACTATGAATTTCTCTGTGCCGTTCAAGGCTCTGTCCCACTAAAAACTGTGACAGCTAATGTGAATCAGGGCATTCTTGAGCTAAATGCAGATCGCCTCAAGGCTCCTGACTGGGCACCACTTCTGAATGCTATCAGGCATAATAAGACTTTGACTTCTATTGTAATAAGAAGCTTTCATCAACAGGGTCTTGGAGAATCAGGTTTGTAATGACCACTTGAGATCTTTATTATATCTGTCTAGATGGGAATTCATTACAGGAAAACTGGGAGTTTTTTTAAAATGGTTTACCATCATGTCCTCTTAGTTAAAGCACAATAGACCAGTCTTGTGTTGAAAGCTGAGTTATCACAACATAGGATTGTGTGGTATGAATAACATCAGCTGGAGACACTTAGTGGAGCTCTCTCCTTTCCTTTTAATGGTCCACTAGGTGGTGGTGATAAAAAATATCCAAGAGGTATAAAAACGAAATTTCAGGCATTACTTCTTGGGGACAGGAAAAACCTTCCCAATGGCCAGTTTGTTTATGTCTGTTAGGGGATTCCCCCTCCCCCCCTTCTGGGTTTGGCTTCTGTGGGAGATAGGATACTGGATTAAATGAACGACTGTTCTGATCCAATATAGCAATTGGTGTGTGTATAGCGGAAAAAAGGAATAATTCTTCAGATATCACAATCATAAAACAAAGAAATAAGGAGAAATTCTGGCCCCACTTACCGCAATGGCAAAAATCCCACTGATTCAGTGGGGCCCGGATGTTATCAGTAATTCACTTTTGTTGTTTATTAGGGGCTGACAGACCTAAAACCTACTTTAGAAGACGAATTCCAGCAATTCGATCAAAAGACATGACTACTCAATTATGTAAAGCCATCAGAGGTTGTCTGAATATGTCAAGTGCTCTAAAAAATTTGGAACTTGAGGGACTGCTTCTAAGAGAGCGAGATCTAATATTTTTAACAAAGGTAAGACTTCAAATACACACACACACAGACACACACACAAATGTATACATTTAGCAATAAAGATGTTGGGTGAGATTCTATTTTGTACTTCTTAGGTTTACCACAGATGTTGGTGGAGCTATGGTAGATTTAAGCTTCTTTTGCCCTTGATTATTTTCAGGGTTGGAGAGGCCCCTAGTGTAACTTAGACAGATCTGGGGACCTCTCAAAGTTACTGCAGTCTCTTCAGGTTGTCTGGCATGTTGCAGCCCTCCCTCTGACATGTCATCCCAGCACTACCCTGGCATGCCCCCTTCACTGGGGCTTAAGAGGGAGTGCTTAGAAGGCAGATTTACAGCTGTCTTCCACAGTTTCTGCACTAGGAGAATCCTCCCTCAGACACAAATAAGGCTTTTAGGGCCCCTTTGCACCATTCTGGCCCTTTTACATGCATAAAGGATCCATAGTGGGAGTGAGGACCACTACTTTTTCTTCAGATATGTGCTATTAAAATATTGTTGTTCAAGCATTTTAAAAAATGTTTTCAATGATTTTTATTTTGAAGGGGTTGGCCAAGACATCATCTTTGGAGAGCTTGTCATTAGCACATTGTCCAATTGGAGATGGAGGATTGGAAAGTAAGTTTTGAAATTTAAAAGAAATAGCCTAAGGTGATCTGTGTCTTTTGTGTTATTGCTTTTAAAATACCTTTTAAAAAAATCTCATTGTTCCATCCCTATTTAAATCTGTATTGATTATAACAGAAAACAATCATGTTCACTTTGAACACGGTGAAATTTTGCGTGTGAAGTGCAAGACTTGTCATTACTGTGACTATCTTTTTCTTTTTTTAGTGTTTGGTTTTGAGCAATCTTCACACTGAAATAAAGTAGTACCCTACTGTATGCTGCAAGCAAACAAACTCTTATGTTAAAAAGTTCCTTTTTATAAATGTTTACAAGTCATGAAATACATTAGCTAACGTTTATATCAAGTGGAATATCTAAACTGCTTTAACATGAAATATAAAGCAGTTCTGAAATATACCTATTTTAAAGATATTTCATGTTTGTACGCAAAAAGTTATGGAACAGTTAAAATATTTTTATTTAAAATAAATAATATACATCGCTCTTCTACAGTAGTTCTTCATTCAAGGATCTAGGTTCTTTCCAAATGCTAATTATGCCTTTATAACACCACCGTAAGAAACATGGTAAGTATTATTCATTTTAATGATCTGACTGTAATTTTTTTTATCTTTTTAACTTCAGCAATCTGTCAAAGTGTGAGAAACTCCGCCAACATCAAATCTATAAATTTTACAGGATGTAGTTTGACCTGGCGGGGAGCAGAACACTTGGCCAATGTCTTAAAGGTAACCTGCCTTTTGTAAAGACAAATATTTAAGTGGATTAATATAATGTATATATATTGTGATTCATAGCTGAGTCTAGTATGTAAACACAATTTATTTACATCTTTTAATATTAATAACATTCTGATACTATAGGAAAAGCCCTAGTGTAATTTACTGCTAGTGTCACATTGGGTTCCCAATATTCCTCTTAAGATGATATCTCTTCAGTGAGATAACTGCTGCTAGCAAGATATGCATATATGGCTATTTTCTGTTACATCCGTGAAAATAATATAGGGTTATATGACGAGAAATAGTTCATGTCATATGAATGTTTAAGACTCCGATAATATAGCTCAGCACATTAATGTAATCATAGTTCTACATATCCTGGTTTGATTAGGGTGACTTGGGCCCCAATTAAACAAAGTACTTCACTGCTTGAAGTTATGCAGATGCTGAAGTCAATGGGACTCTTTGCATGCTTAAAGTTACATATATGCTTCTATACCACCCAGGATTAGGGCCTATGAGAGCACAAATAGTCATTCTAATTTTAATTGTTTGCACTACACTTTAGCTGCTGTCTTCTTTTTGTTGATAAAGAAACAAGCTAAGCTTATGCACATCAGTAGCTCAAGGAAAATGATTGTACTTTTGGCAATACAACCTCCTCTTCTATCCCAAGCATTGAGGTCCTGATCCAATGCCCATGGAAGAAAATGGAAGCCTTTCCACTGAGTTCAGTGGGCTTGGATCAGGACTCTTGGCCTTATGGGCTGTATTCGATCATTTGGAAGCTGTTAAAGCATGAAAGAAAAACAGATGTGCTTAGATTAGAGCTGCATAATTAAAAATATTGTCTAGATGGCTTTCTAGCTGAAATTTAGGCCCGAATCAAAGACAGCCTGGCTCCCAGACTGTCTGAAGTATACACAGAGGCTTTTGTTAAAGACTCTCTACCTTCTTTAGTGAATGAATCCCTAGTTTCTGTCAAGCTTTAAGCCTGGCAAAGATGCCCAAGAATGTGCTAGCTTTTGCCCAATACCCTTAATGAACTCTGACATTACTTGTCTAAAATTCTACCTGAATGACTAGAAAAAATAATGAGGAACGTAACACTGCTTACATAGGATTTTTACAAAAGAGATGTGGGTCAGACAACACTTGTCAGCTTCTCTGCACTGTCCTACTATTAAAACCCCTCAGAACTGTTCTGTCACACGTAGAAAAAGTCTTTGTTCCTCATTCTACAAAAATTTGGATTTGGTCCCTCTTTCATTTCCTGGATTAGACTTTTGTACTCCAGTCCTAGCTTCTGTTGTAACCAATCACATCATCTCCCCTCCTTGGTACAAGACAGGGATGTCCCCTCTCCTCCTCCCTGTTTGATCTGGCTTTGGAGTCAAATACAAATTAGAATACCTAGGGGTCCCAAGAGATGAAAATATGCCTACATGCTGATTATATATTTTTATTCACTACCAATCCCCTTCAGACCATCCCCAATATTACAAACCGCTGAATTGTTCGGGAAAATTTCAGGGTAGAAAATAAATTGGCACAGTTTGGCAGCTCTCAGTATCTCTCAGGGTGCTTAACTTTGCCCTCTCAGATTTATAGTTTTCATTGGCAGCAGGTGGAAATCAGGTAGTTAGGAATCCTCTTTTCCAGAGACCTAAGAAAAATAGTCAAAATTAATTTCAATTCTTTTATCACACAGATGGTTTTGGATTTACATAGATGTCAAGCCCTCCCTCTATCCAGGCAGAGTTAGAATATTAAAAACAAATGTTCTCCTGTGACTTCTTCTTGTTCTTAGCTCCTTGCTCTGTTTCTTTTCAAAATTAATAACACTTTTAAGAGCTCCTTGTGGGGTATGGGCAACGAGCCCAGATTATCCTTTGAAAAAATGCAACTGCCTTTTAAATCAGGAGGCATTGGTCTACCCAACCTTAGGCTTTACTATGTATCCTCAATCATGAGGAAGGCAACACAATGGAGTGTCCCTCCCCCCGACACCCAGCCTGTCATAGACTTTAAGGCCAGAAGGGACCATCGTGATCATCTCATCTGACCTCCTGCACATTGCCAGCCACAGAATCTCACCCACCCATTCCTGTAATAAGTCCATAACCTCTGTCTGAGTTACTGAAATCCTCAAATATTGATGTAAAGACTTCGTGTTACAGAGAATCCATCATTTACTCTAGTCCAAACCAGCAAGTAACCCGGGCCCCCATGCTGTAGAGGCAAATGAAAAACCCTAAGGATCTCTGCCTATCTGATATGGGGGAAAAATCCTTCCCAACTTCAAGAACAGTGATTGGTTAGTCCCTGAGCAGACACCTACGAAAGAGTTCTCTGTAATAACTCAGAGCCCTCCCCATCTGATGATCCATCTCTGACTGTTGGAGATATTCGCTAATAGCAATTGCGGCTGGGCCATCTGCCACTGTAGGCAACCATCTCCTCCATAAACTTATTAAGCTCAGTCTTGAAGCCAGTGTAGGATTTTGTCCCCATTATTCTCCTTGGAACTTTACTCCTTTGATGGTTAGAAACTTTTGTCTAATTTTAAGCCTAAACTTGTTGTTGGCCTGCTTATATCCATTTGTTCTTGTGCCAGTACTGGCCCTTAACTTAAATAACTTCTTTCCCTCCCTGGTGTTTGCTCCCTATAAATATATCAGAGGGATAATCATATCTCCCCTTAGCCTTCATTTGGTTAGGCCAGGGGTTCTCAAACTGGGGGTTGGGACCTCTCAGGGGGTCGGGAGGTTATTACATGGGGGGGGGGGGGGGGGGGGGAGAATCACAAGCTGTCAGCCTCCACTCCAAACTCTGCTTTGCCTCCAGCATTTATAATGGTGTTAAATATATTAAAAAGTGTTTTTTAATGTATAGGGGGGGGGGGTTGCACTGAGAAGCTTGCTATATGAAAGGGGTCACCAGTACAAAAGTTTGAGAACCACTGGGCTAGGCTAAACAAGCCAACCTCCTTCTTCTCCATTCCTCTGATTCTCCTAGTAGCCCTTCTCTAGACCAGTTTGAATTTCTTTCTTAAACATGGGAGACCAGAATAGCACACAGTATTCTAGATGAGGTCTCACCCGTGCCTTGTATAGTAGTAATACACTTCCCTAACTCTACTGGAAATACCTCACTTGATGCATTGTAGGATTGCATTTGCCTCTTTTACAGCTACATCACCTTGGCAGCTCATAGTCATCCTATAATTGACCAGTACACCCAGCTTTTTCTCCTCCTCTGTCCCTCCTCTATCATTGATAAGTCTTGTTGTTAGTCCCTAAGTGCATGACCTTGCACTTAGTGCTATTAGTTTTCATCCCATTTTTATTACTCCTGTTTTCAAGGTCGTCCAAATCTTCTTGTGTGATATTCCAGTCCTCCTCCATACCAGCAATACCTCCCAACTGTGTGTCATATGCATATTTTATTAGCACACTCCCACTTTTTGTGCCAAGTCATTAATGAAAATATTAAATAAGAGTAGTCCCATGAATGATCCCTGAGGAATACCACTAGTAATTATACTCCTTCCTGACAGTTCATCTTTCAGCATGATCCCCTTTAGTCTCCCCTTTAATCAGTTCCTTACCCACCTTTCAGTTCTCATATTAATTCCCATCTTCTCCAGCCCCAGTCGTGCATGGAGGAGGGAATTGTCATCCCACTACCACCAGAATTAGTCCCAAACTTAGACTTCTACCCTTTTTTAGGGAGAAATCAGTCACAGTTTTGCTGCTAGGAAAGCCTGGTGTCTGGTTGCTTCTGAGTTTAAATATCATCCTTTATTACATTGTCTTTAATTTGGGATAACTTGAAAAATGTAACTGCCCATAGACCTATTCTTTGGCCTGATAGGACTAAAAAGAGATTTTGAGCATAAACCACATAATTGAAAATGATTCCATCATGCCCTTTCCTCACCTATGCAGTCTGTCTTGGAAACTGAAATCCTTTGAAAAACTTTGACTGGGTAGAGCTCTGATCGTCGCCAAATGTCTAATTCTACAATGGTGGAAGTTCCAAAGGTGCCCAGCTACCAAAGATTGGTACTCTGCCATGGTTAGCCTGCCGGCAGTGCAATAAATAATGTTTTGCAATAGTAACAACCAAGATGAACATCTATCTATCTATCTAGTCTGCATTTTTGAAAGTATTGGAATAATCAGTTTAATTCCCCATAGGGTAACCTTGTTTGCAGTACCCTCCAAGACCCTAGCTACCGCTCATATTCTATTCCTTCCACCTCTTGTATCCCCCCTACTCCGCCGCTCTTTCCTCTGTGTTCTATCATTTTTCTCTTATTCTTTTTTACTTACCTTTCAAGCTTTTCTTTGGTCCTCTCTTCACTTTCAATACCCTTTTTTCCTTCTTTTTTTCTTTTTTCCCCCTTTCTAAAGAAGTGATTCTGGAGAATAGTTTGATTTTACTTGTATTATCTATCTTGTTGTATAATCTGATGTCTCTCTATTCCAATTTAGATACCTTTCTTTTCTTTGTCATCTCTGTTATATATATTAGCTGTGTTAAAGAATAAATAAATAAATTGCCAATGATGAAGACTTCTCCACAACTCTTGGTACATTTTTTCAAGGATTAATTACCCTTAAAAACTACGTGCCTTATTTCCAGTTCGATTTGTCTAGCTTCAGTTTGCAGTTATTGGATCTTGTTCTACCTTTGTTTGCTAGATTAAAGATCCCATTATCAAGCACCTGTATCCCATGTAGGTACGTATAGACTCTGATCAAGTCACCCCTTAACTTTCTCTTTGTTGAGCTAAATAATAGACTCAAGAAGCTCAATCATTCTGAAACATGTTTTCCAGTACTTTAATAATTCTTGTGGCTTTTTGAACTTTCTCCAATATATCAACATCCTTCTTAAATTGTGGACATCAGAATTAGATGCAGTGTTCCAGCAGTAGTCACACCAATCCCAAATACAGAAGTAATATAATTTCTGTATTCCTACTTGAGATCCACCTGTTTATGCATCCAAGGATCATATTAGGCCTTTGGTCACAGTGTTGAACTGGAAGCTTGTGTTCATTTGATTATCCACCGTGACCCTGAAGTCTCTGAGTTACTGCTTCCCAGGAAGAAGTCTTTATAAAATGTCTTTATTCATAAAAAGTCTTTATTCATAAAGACAGTTGTGGGGCTGGTATCCTTTTACTGATGGAAAAACATCAGCACCTACCTTAAAAGTGCTAGAATGCCAGTTCTGAGGCTTAATTGTTGTTTTCCTTTGTAGTATACATTTTGGTTTAAAAACAAGAGTAGGACATGAAGAATGACACTGTTCCCTGTCTACCCAGCAATGATGAGTGGTATATAGTGGGTGTGCTGTTTGGGAAATCGGTGTATCTGGGAGAAGGTGAAGAGGCTATAAACTTGCTAGATGGCTTATCTCTTCCTTGCTTTTGCGGTTTTTTGCATTAGGTATGTTATATGTATATGAAAGACCTTTCTCAAAGGGCAGTTACCAGTGATTTTCAGTCAAAGTAGGAGGACATATCAAATGGGGTCCTGCAGGGATCTGGCCTGTGTTTTTGTTTGTAATGTATTTTCATTAATTACTTGGATGATGGAGCGGAGAGTAATGCTCATAAAATTTGCGAATGATACCAAGATGGGAGAGGTTGCAAGTGCTTTGACGAACAGGATTAGAATTCAAAACGATCTTGATAAATTGAAGAATTGGCGTAAAATCAGCAAGATGAAATTCAGACAGTTGTAAGGTACTGCACTTAGGAAGGCAAAATCAAATGCACAAACATAAAATGGGGAATAACTGGCTAGGCAGTTGTATTGCAGAAAAAAGACTGAGGTTATAGTGGATCATAAATTGGATATTAGTCAACAATATGATACTGTTGCAAAAAAAAGGCAAGTGTTATTCAGCGATATTTAAACAGGAATGTCATACAAGAATGACATTTGGCACTGGTGACATCTCACCTGGAGAACTGCATCCAATTTTGGGCACTACGCTTTAAGAAGGATGTGGACCAATTGAAGAAAGTCCAGAGGAGTTCAAGAAACATAAGAGGTTTAGATAACATGACCTATGAGAAAAGATTGAAAGAATTGGCCATGTTTAGTCTTGAGAAGGTAAGACCCTAGAGGGGACCAGGTAATGGTCTTCAAATATGTGAAAGGTTATTATAAAGAGGACGATCAGTTGTTCTCCATGTTCAGTGAGGGTTGGACATGAAGTAATCCGTCTAATTTTCTGCAAGGGAGATTTAGGTTGGCTATTAGGAATAACTTTCTAACTATAAGGAATGTTAAGCTCTGGAACTGGTTTCCTTGGGGCTGTGGAATCCCTGTCATTGGTGTTTTTTAAGGACAGGTTAGACAGACATCTCTCAGGGATAGTCTAGGTAGTCAATTCTTCTGCTGGGGAAAGTGAGGTAGATGACCCTTTGAGGTCCCTTCCAGCCCTATGTTTCTTGGATTAATGAGCAAATCAAGTTTGCAATTCAAGACTTACAGTGAACATTTCATGCACAACAAGCTCATAATGATTAAAACTATTTAAATATTTTTTCAGTAACAGAAGAGAATATGGTAGAACTATAAGGTGTGTTTAAACTGAAGTATTGGTCTTTGTGAAAATAATAAGAAACAAAACATTTTAGCGAGTGTCTGTTAGTTAAGACACTAGTGTCAAAGAGCCTATATCTGTCTCTGCTTGATAACAAGCAGGCAGGGAGATTCCTAAGGAATTCTCTGAACCTGGTTTATATTTTACTTCATGAAATAATTTATCAGTAATAAGAATGAGAGTTAATGTGTAAGAGCATGATTGTGTGTATTTCTTAAATTCAGTAACATTGTAGTTGGGTTTTATTTCATTTCAATAATAGTAATTGTAATTGAATCATTATTTTAATTAATCTTCTTTGCATCAGTGTTGATGGCTTCACCTCACCACTAATGTTAACTTGTTTTGTTTTCAAAGCACCAGGCAATGAAAAGACATGGTGAAGCTTGGGCTGAAAGTCTACGCTATAGGAGACCTGATCTTGACTGCATGGCAGGTTTGAGGCGTATCACTCTCAACTGCAATGCACTTGTTGGTGATCGAGGGGCTAGAGCCTTTGCAGAATGTCTTGGAGAGGACCTGTGGCTGAAAGGTATGGTAAATTGTTCTGTGCTTCTAAGTAGGGTGACCATATTTCCCAAAGGTAAAACGGGAGATCGGGAGGGGCTTGGGCGAGTGTCACTGCTCACCCACGCCCTGCTGTGCGGGGCTGGTGTTGCTGCTCTCTTCCCCCGTCCCCCCCGCACATTACTCCATGTCCCAGTGGGAGGCATGCCCCCCTTTTTTTGGCAAAACTGGGCATTTGTCCCATTTGCTCTTGACAAGTGATGATCAGATGGCAAGAGAAAATGGGACAAATTCCCAGTTATGCCAAAAAAAATCGAGACCCCTGGGACAGGGCTTAAAAAGTGAACTTTCCCAGCCAAAACGAGATGTGTGGTCACCCTACTTCTAAGGCACATTAGAACTAGTCTTAACAGTAGCTGATTTGCATCTGTAATAGATGTATAGGTAATACATTTTTAAGTTTAAGTATTTAACAAGGTAGGGATAACAGTTACAAAATATAAAGCTAGTAGCCAATATGTGGAGAGGTTTTACAGAAGAAGAAATAATGTTTTCATGGTGATTAGTTAGACACTACTTGGTATTTAATTCTAATTTTGGTAACTGTAATTTTGTGAAACTCTTGAACAAATTTTGGTGGCAATCTTATAAGGGTCTTCATCTACTATTCTACTGTACATAAACCCTAAGGTGGCTATAGAATTCCAGATGTCTTGGCTTTCTTACAGCTCTGTAATCTGAAGTAATTTATTGGTTGTAGAACTTATTTTACCTTTCAGTATGTTTGACTGTGGACCACATCTGGGAAAATACTGTGGCTGTACAACATGAAAGAATATTGCAAGAAATGGCAAAGCTATAGCAAGTTTAAAAGTATTGGATAATACAATTATCTGCATAGTGATGTGTTCCCCCTCACCCCCCCCCCCCGTGAAATACTGAAGCCAGTATTTAAAACCTAAGTTGTTGAATTTATTTATTTATTTTCTCCCAGCAGCTGTTGGTTGGTGTTCAGCACCATTACATTTAATATTGCCTTGCATATTAGACCTTGCTTCACTGCTGTTCAAGTTAGCAATTTTCAAAACCCATCATAAATATAACTGAGTGTATGAGATGATGATGTGGTAGGGATTTTTAATTTAGTTACACATCACCTCCATATTGGTGCACATAACAAAATTAATTTCGCACATGGGTGGGAAAAATTAGAGGGAACACTGCCAGCAGCTATATCTTGAAACTTTGATATCTGATAATGACTTAAATGTTAATCTCCATCCTGCATTTAAAATATTACCTTAGCTCTCCCTTGGGTAGAGCTGAGAATACTCTTTCTTTCTTTCTTTCTTTCTTTCTTTTTGGTTACTTGCAAGACTCTTAGGTACATGCATGTGGATGTTTTCATTATGGATAGATTCATTATTTGAATTATTAGTTCAAGTGATGCAACTGAGTAATGTTTAACCTTTTTAAACATTTCAGCACTTGACATGCAGCAGTGTGGAATTTCCAACGATGGGGCAAAATCATTGTTAGATGCTTTTCAAACTAATACAACTCTAGTGATCTTGGATGTAAGAAAAAATCCATTAATTGGTATGAACTTTTATCTATCCTTCCATTCTGATTAAAAAAAACAAAGATTTTTCATTTATAACTTTTGAAAAATGTAGCATTTTCAGAAAAATTAAACCAGATTTTACTGAATATTTGCCAACTACATTTTAAATAAAGGGAGATGTTGACTTGTTTTATCTTGCTCTGTTTGTATGAATATTAGGGCTGTCGATTAATCACAGTTAACTCACACGATTAACTAAAAAAAATTAATCGCGACTAATCACAGTTTTAATTGCACTATTAAACAATAGAATAACAATTGAAATTTAATAAATATTTTGGATTTTTTCTACATTTTCATATATATTGTATTCTGTGTTATAATTGAAATCAAAGTGTATATTTTTTATTACAAATATTTGCACTGTAAAAATGATAAAAGAAATATTGCACTACAGTACTTGTATTAGGTGAATTGAAAAATACTATTTCTTTTGCATGGAGTGAAAATTACAGATGCAGGCATAAATATCCTGACACATGAAGAGAAGGGAGTGTGTCAATATATTTGTCATGTGTCAGAATATTTATGCCTGCATCTGTAATTTTCACTCTATGCATCTGAAGAAGTGGGCTTTTTACCCACGAAATCTTATGCCCAAATAAATCTGTTAGCCTTTAAGGTGCCGCCGGACTCCTCGTTGTTTTTGTGGATACAGACTAACATGGCTACCCCTCTGATGCTATTTCTTTTGGGGTTTTTTTTTACAGTGCAAATACTTGTAATCAAAAATAAATATAAAGTGAGCACTGTACCCTTTGTATTCTGTGTTGTAATTGAAATCAGTATATTTGAAAATGTAGAAAACATTCAAAAATGTTTAAATAAATGGTATTCTATTATTGTTTAACTGCATGATTAATCGCGATTAATTTTTTTAAATCGCTTGACAGCCCTAGTGAATATTTTATCAAAAATAATCTAATATTGAAATTAATGAAATGAATGTATTTATTTTTTTCACTCTAGATCACACTTTGATGAAAAAACTTATTGAAAGAGTTCTCATGAATGGAAACAGTACCAGTTCAGAGGTATGTTTCAGGCATTCTGGAATGACTTTTGTTTGTCTGTATTTGGATTTAAAACAAACCATGATATTATGACACCACGTGATTCTGTACAGATTAGTATAACTCTTTTTATTTAATATTAAATTAAGTGTATGTTCAGGTTGCAGTTAAAAATCGCAAAAGTTAAAGCACCAGCAGCAGCATTAACTATGTCACATTGAACATCGTGTATATTTTGTGTAGCTTACAACGTAAACTAATAAAACAGGAATTAGATATTTAATAAGAAAAATAGAAAACAGTGCATATGTACAACATAAAGTTAAAAATGTTGTTGGAAGTTTTGATGTTTAGTGGTCTTTAATTGGTCAACCTTAATGTCTCAGTAAAGCAGTTCTTTGTTTGTGTTCCTAATTCCCTAGGTTAGGAAAATAACACCTAACCTAAAAATATGTTGTTTTTTTAAATCAGTGAATTAAATTCTTCTTCGAGTGATTGCACTTGTCCATTGTGCGCCCGGTGTACAGTTATTGGAGATCTTTTTACCTCACTGGTACTCTTTGGGACAGCCCTCAGGTTTGATGGCCACACCATCTTGTACTGTGGTACACAAGGTCAAAGTCATTATGAGGCCCCATCCCAGCTTTATGCATAAGGTGTTCTCAGATTGTATTTCTCTCCCTGTGTTCTTCTCCAGACCCCATTCCCACCAATGGGAATCTTGTCTCCCGACCCCAAGTGTAAATAGAGTGTTCTGCTCTTACTTGGAAAATACCAAACCTTTTATACAATCCAGTAGGTTATTTGTAGCATTTGGGGAGATCTCAGGGACCTGTTTACTAGAGGCTCTCACTGGATTAGGAGATGTATGAAACGTTACATCTCAGGTGGGAAACCAGCGCACCCTGCTATAAAATACACACTCCAGGAGAGCCAATGCAGCATAATTGCGTTAGGCAAGTTCTCTTAATGAAGATAAGCACAGCAGCAATTTGGTGTCTGGTGAAAGTGTTCACTAAACTCCATTCCTTGGATTTTACATTGTGCTCCAATACTTAGTTTAGGAGACTTATGCTACAATCCATATTTAACTAAACTCCTAGCTCACTGTCCTGCTGATGGATCTCATTATGGGAAATACGTGGGAAACTCACAAGACCTTGAAGAAGAGAGAGAGATTACTTACCAGTGACTGTTGCTCTTCAAGAGTTACGTCTGTGTATTTGTTCTCTCTGCCTACCTTCTCTTCTGTCTCATAGTTCTATATAGCATCAGGTCTCTGTGGTTAGGGAGAAGGAACTGAGACAGTTGGGGATTGCACACCCTTATATGAAGTATCTCCCAAAGGACACAGCTTTTCAAAGCAGTTCCACATCTCAATACCAGGGATAGTATATCCCACAAATGGGAATACAAGTGTGAAAATGCAGAGGTGACTCTCAAAGAACAACCGTAAATGGCAAGTAGCCCCTCTTTCTAACTGTCAGACCTGCAAATTCAACCTGGACTCTGAAAGTCCAGCTATGTTCACTCTTGCTTATATTTTGTCATTACTTTATTAAGCTTCATTTGCAGAATTTTTTTCTGTTGACTCATGAGCCAGATTAGACTCTGTTGGCTCTGCTGTAAAAAGTAGTAAAAACTTGTTTTTGTCCATAAAGTATGTAAATCTGACTCTCAATACAAGGAAGGCGAATCAGCTGAGAAAGACAAAGCTGTTTTTACATTAACATTCTTTTCTGATAATCACCACACTAATAGAGAGAATCATAAAATCCTACCAGAATGGTCTTAATAATTTCACGCAATGGGGGGCGGTGGTAGGATTTTCTGATGTGACAAATGCTGTTGTACTGATGCCAAGCTTTTTGGAGCCAGTGGCTTCCAAGTGCCATTATATCTACAACATGGAGACACATACTTTAAAAAGCAAACAAAACACTGGAATAGATACTTGGAATATAAACCTAGAAAAATACTGGTCAGAGCCAGTCCTTTTTGAGAATCCTCTAGAGCAGCACGGTGTCACCTTGAAGGAAAACAGTAAATTCAACGCACAGCTTTTCCTTTTGATCTCAATACACTTCAATTTTAGTGTGAATTCTTGTGATAAATGTGCCCTATTGGCATGCCCTACCACTGCAAGCACTGAAAAAAAAACAAAAAAACCTTGATGCTTTTTTAAAAAAAGCTGTATTTTATTTGTAATATAATATCTTACTAGAAAGTCTTTATTACGCTGGAGAACTTTGGCTGGAGCCAGACATTCCTACGAGTCAGCTCTGTAGGGGAGCATGGAAGCCAGTGCCAGTTTTTCCTTTTTACAGAGCATGTGCTGTTTTTCTTACTATAAAAGGAGAACTGTTGCACAGAGGAAGAAAAATTGGATGGGGTGCTTTAGAGGTGTTCTGGGAACATTTGCTTGCAGATAGTATGATGTTATATTTATATCCAATTAAGTTGGAAATTATTTTGTTAAATAATAAGTGATCACACCCTCTAAAAATCTTGAAGATTTTTAACTCATTCCTGATTATTGAAAACTCAAATTGTTAACAAGGCTACATAAATGAAGTTTATTAAATAAAATATTCAATATAGAAAAGTAATCTTTAGCATATTAGCTATGAAACTCCAAAGCTAGTACATCCTGAAATATCCGTTACTAAAATGAAGTTAACATTTTGAGATTTTTGTGTTTTTGTTTTTATTTAATGTTCTAGTACAAGTGGCTGACCTCTCCTTCTTCAAAGGATATTCTCAAACCTAAATCAAAAAAAAGAACTATTGTCCTAGGAAGTGGTCGGAAAGGAAAAGCTACTATTCGTATTGGTAATACTGCCTTCCCTTTCTCTTTGAAAGAAATCGAAAGTTATTTCTAAGCTTGTCAGTTCTTGCTTTCTACATGACCCTATCTGTCTAGAAAGAAGGCAGTGAAATTGGTCCCAAGAGGATGGCAAATACAAATTGTAATGACACAGTTTTCATTGACTTTATACAAACACTTCAGCTCTGTATGATGATTTTACTGTACATGTTATTGATCTCAATAGTGAGAGAAAAATAAATAGATTTTTTTGTGAAGAAGAACAGCGGGTGGGAGGAAAATAGATGTAGTGCTTTTGGTTATGAAATAAACATTGAAACTACATTCTTACACCAACAATTAGCCCCTAGCCATGCCCCAGATTAAAATACTAGCTGCTGATCTCTTGTTCTGTTTTTATGTTGATCATCACTCCAGTCATTAACTGGGATGCCTTTTATGTTGATGACATTATACATAGCTAATAGTACTTTCCCTAGTAGAACATAGGTAGGAAAACCTCAGTTGTAGAGTTTCCCCTCTTTTAGTTTGGCAAAACTGAATTTAATAGAACTGAATTGTTTCAGCCCCTCTTGCTAAATTTCACTGCTTCCTTCTTGTTGGGGGCATAAAAGAGACCAGGGTTTGTCTAAACACAAAAGTTTGTATTGCTTTAACTTTACTGGTATAGTCAAAATAGTACAAGCCCCCCTAGTGTAGTTATATCTGTATAAAGGTTCTTTTATCAGTATAATTTATTCCTCTTCCTTTACAGGAAGCACTGTTATACCAGTATAATTGTGCCCATATGAGGGGTTCTACTGGTATAATTATTTCAGTAAAATTTGACACTCTAACCAAAATATTTCTACTGGTACAAAAACTGTGTCTAGGCCAGGCCTTATTCTTTCCTTCCCCTTTTTCCTGGTGCTTGGTAGAATTAGTAACATTCTTTGTGAGTTCTCTCAGTTCCATGTACACTGGATTAGTGCTTTTGGTGCTCCATTCCCTCTTCTGTTTGAAAGGGTAGCAATATTTCCAATAGACTGTGTACTTAGGCTCATGCAGAATGAACTGAGAAGTGATCAAAGATACAAAAGCAAAAGATCCAGTAATTTGGGAGCAGCCTAAGCAGTGATCCTCCATGGCCAGACAAGAACACTTTATGGAAAACCAGATGAAATTTTGAAGATTAGGATTCAACAACTGAATGCCAGAGTCAATCTAAAACGAAGCAGAATAAACACTTAAAAAAGCCCTGAAAATGTGTTTTAGAATAGCTAAAATTTGCCCAATGTTCTATGTGTTTCCTAAAATACAAAAGTTCTCCAGATTCTCTCATTGCTACCTGATTCAGATTCCTACTTCTGCTGATCCCATTTCACACCAAATAACACACAATCAGTAGAAAGGTAAAATAAGCATGGGGACTTCTGAATGATGTGCCCTGCATCAGCAAGACCCTTTCCTTCCCTCCCAGGATGGCCTTACCATACTTTACTCACTCTTTCAACTGCTATGGCTCTTGGAGACTTGGCAGCAGATAGTTGTCTATTTTTTTCATGTCTCAGGCTTTCCATAGCAGACTCTCCATTGCCAGCATAAGATGGGATGAATCTGGCTCTATCTATAGATGGCAGTCCTGTCACTGCTAATTTGAATAAATTATTCAAAATGTTCTTATTTTGAATATGTATCTCTTAAACATGGTTAATGAGTGAAACACATGATAGTATAAATATTTTTAAAAGTTACTAAAATCATACTTAATTCCATTTCTTTGGCTGTTTATCTTTTTTAATCTTTGCTTCAGTGATTTGGAGACACAGAGGTAAGCATAATAAGTCAAACTGTGCACAATCAGTTTCAAAGGGCTTGAAATTGAGGCGGTTGTGAGGGTGGGGAGGAAAATTCCTGCTGCTGCTAATTTTTAAAAAAAACCCTTCTCCTTAACCCTAGTTACTTGCTAAACTGTGACCAGGAATTTGAAATTCCATCAACATCAGTTATGTCCTTTTACACTCCCACCAGATTAGCAGGATTATGGGATGTTCTCCAGAGAAATATAACTCGAAGTTAAATAATTTATTTTCATATTCAGACATTTCACTAGGTAAATGATATAAACTTCATGAGCACTTCTCGAGTCTGGCTGGGTTCTAACTGATGCAAGCCCAAAGGTGGGGTGGGCACTTTGCTCCACATTCCTGACGGTACAGCTGTCCATACTGTATTCGCAATCAGCCTCTGGGCTAGTGGGTATAAGGATATATTCTCACTCTCTTGGGACTGAAGAATACCGGAGCTATTTTCACGCAAGCATTCAAAAACGAAAAATTCATTCTTAGTCAGAAACTCGCCCTGAAAAATTTTAGCTGGAGAGGTGCATGTTTGAGAAAGTTATGAGCAGCTGAAAGAGGATCCTTAAAATGGAAATGCCTAAACAACCTTAACTTTAGCTGTCTCTTCATGTTGTAACTGTAATGAACTCTCTCTTCTCTCCCTATCCCTGCTGTACGATACAGGATTAGCATCTAAAAAGCCCATGCATCCTGGAAAGAGTCCATCTGATAAAGATACCTATTCACCAAAACCATTACCACCAGGTGCATATGGTTTCCTACCTTGGCGTACTGCAGAGCGTGCAAAGAGGTGCAGGTGAAGTATTGAGAGCATGAGTAAGAAAACAGAATCTGCATGTTGTATCTTGGATTACAGTAGAATAAGTCAATGTGGTTTACAGAGGTCATACTGTAATCAGCGGTGAGGAACTTTTGTTTGTTTGTTTTCTATTGGGCCATTGACCCACCGAAAAAAATCAATGGCGGGACACACGCGTTCAACTCACTTGCCCGGGGGCGGGGACTCGGGACCCCCGCAGCGGGGTCAGCCGGTGTTCGTTTCTCCAGCCCCACAGGGGGGTGCCGAGACTCAGAGCTTCCCCCCTGCAGCTGCGGCTCCAGCCCCACAGGGAAGCCCCGAGGCTCTGTGCCGCCCCCCTGCCCCACCTCCTGGCGAGTGAGTTGAACATGTATGGCTCGTGAGCTGGATGAAAATGAGCAAGGGGCCGGATCCGGCCCACGGGCCGTAGGTTCCCCACCGCTGCTGTAAATTCGTATCTGTACTCATTTTAAAACAGATTAGAGTACACAAAACAGATTTTACATTGCATTCATAATCCTTTCTGTGTCTTGAATTTTATAACTTATCTGCCCCTTAGCTGCAATTGGTTAGCTTCTTCAGCAATAATTAAACTAAGCAATTACAACGTGGATGTTTCAAAAGAATTCTAAAACTTAGCTGCACATAGATTTTCTTTTTATACAGGGCTTTTTTAAAATAAAAAACATGGAATATTTCAGATGTTACAATTGGTTTTGTAAACCAAGCAGATGAATAATGCTATTGAAAAAGTGATCATAAATTTGGTACCTTCTAATTCAGCTGATCCATTCCTTTTGTTGAGTCATATCACCTAGCGTTAGTGACAACACTTTCTAATGCTTGTTACTCCTTTTAGCTCTGCAGTGCTAACACAACTGAGAGAGACTGAGCAGGGTACTATTCCTTCTTGTACGTCATCAAGAGAATTGTTTACTAAGTTCCAATCAGTTTATGCAACCATACAAATAAACATATAATTTATCTTTTTGTAATGTTTCCCCATCAGTCTGCTTTTGCCACACAGATTCACAAAACAACAGCCACTTTCTTTACTACTTTCCTTCCTGGCTTATTTACCTGTCTGTCTTTTTATTTGCTGTATTTTTCACCTAACGTGGAGTTAATTGTATTTCCCACATCTGCTCACTTTCTGCGACCTTTTAAAAAGACAGAGTGGGAAATTCTTCCACAATTGATACAGCAGTAAAGGCTCAAGAAATTGATCACTGGATCTGGGTGATGGAGGATCTTTGTTGAACCTCATCATCCAGGCAGGGTAAGGTATGCAGAAGTTTGTAATCTGCTGTACATAAGTGGAATTGAGCAGCTCCTCAGAATGGGAGACTGTGTGTATGTGGTTAGAGGAGTGATAGAATTGGGGACTCAAACAGTGAAATGGGCCAAAGTTCTTGTCAGGTTAGAAGAGGCTTGCAGGAGGAGGTAATGGCCACGCATAGCTCCTAAGCCCTACAGGAGTTGCCTGGCCCTTCTCCTCCCCCACCCCACCTTGGGTGACAAAACTGACTCCAGACAATAGCAGAATAAATGTGAACTTCCACTACCCTAGCATAATCATAACCACAAGTTATGATTAAGTATTAACTTAAACATAACTTGAAAAGTTAATTGGATACTCATGAATGATGCTGCATAATTCAGTGTGGTTTGGCTACATCAATCAGCATGAGGGGTGCCTTGCTGCCTAGTTTTTAGGCCTATTGTGTGACATACTACAAACGGTTTTGGTTACACCTGAGCTAACCTAGTGAAGACAGTTGGTCTGCGCAAGTGTTTCAGAGGGCACAGACCAGGCCACAGGGATCTATGCATTCATGACTTCTATTGCATCTTGTGTCTAAGGGTGAAGCCGCAAACACTGAAAAACTCCAACTGGTACAAACATAACAGCAAAGGTTGCTGTAAACGTATTATTCTGGGACTCTGCTTTCTGCATTAGCTCCCCATTGAATATAGAATACAGTTCAGGGTTTCTCTCATGATACTCAAATCCCTCAATGGGATTGGCCCTACCTACCTGTGACCATGACCTCCCAAGGTATCTGTATTTCTCTAGCACAATGAAATTGTCAATTGACATGGCTCCCATCACCATATCTGTGAGTGCTTCCCAAATATTTAAAGATAGACATTAATATTATTTCTTTCTTCTGCGTTTGTTGGTGAAATTATTTCACTGGTTTATAGTTGTTTGTTAGGTGGAGGCATGTGAGTGCAGGGGACAGAACTTTCACAGGAGCTGGATCTAGTTTGAGGCACTCCCTCCTGTGAGGAATAAGACAGATCATGGACCTTACCACTTTCAGAATTAAATACAAAACTCATTTCTTTGACTTACTTTGCCTCTAAGTATTTTTGCACACCCACAAACATAGTCCCCCTTCAAAATATTATAATCAGGCTATTTCTGCTAGAGATTGGGAAGGAAGAAAGAGTAATTGTTGCTATTTCTGGGTTGTTTGTTTTATGTTTTTATTTTATTTTTTTTGATTGGGTTTTTTTTAAGGTGCTCAGATACCAGGGCAATAGGAGGGCTTTATAAGTGCTTAAAAATACTGAGAGCATAACTTTGAAGGCACTAGGAATGCACAGGTGTAACTGAAGGAAAAATCTGGTTTGCCACAGCCTTTCTTGCTGGTGGTGATGCACAAGAAGGAAAGGATGCAGCTTACCTTTATGAGCCTAGGTGCAGATCTGGCTTTTAGTTAACAAGTGAAAATAGCTCTTCTTTCTTTTTTATTTTAAGCAATAATTTTGATCTTGCAAGCATTGAGACACACATTTGGAATCTACAACACCATTTTTATGTAGTTCCTGCATGAGCAGGTTTGGCCAAGGAAACATACAGAAAAACTGTACATGTAGTTACAAATAATTTATAAAATTAGAGGCCAACATATGCAGAACTGGATGCCTAAAGTTAGGTTCCTAAATCCATATTTAATCATTTAAATAAGACCTGATTTTCAAAAGTGCCAAGCACACAGCATCTCTTGTAAACTCCGAAGGCAGCTGCAATGGTGCCACATCAGGCTGCTTATTTAGGTATCTAAATATGGACTTAGAAGCCTAACTTTAGGCACCTAGTTTTGAAAGCGTGGCCTAAATCTTGATTAGAAAGTAGAGCTACTTTGTTATGCAGAGTGATATTTTAGTGACAGTTTGTTCAAAGGATCCTGTCAAGTATTTTTATACCATGTTTTAACTCTTATTTCTTTTGAATATCTTAGCAATGTGTGTTTGTAGGATCAGGACCCTTAAATCAAAATTATACCTTGAAATTTCAATGTTGACAAATTACAATATTTTTCTCAAAAAAACCACTTTGATTTAAACATATCATTGTAGGGGATTCCCAGTGGATGGTACCCAGGAGTTACCACTGAAGTTCCAGGTATGATTATCAATTACATATCAATAGATAGGCACATGATGCGGTACTATAGATAATATGCTGAACAAATAAAAATCCATTGTATCCAGTGAGCTTCCAGTATAAAAACACAAGGTGTCAAAACAGAAGTGGAGAGTGTTTTTTATGGCTTAAATACTTCCTGGAAGCATGGAAACTGTGTGTGTGAAAACACTTCATGGTCACACTTTAACATTTGGGATGAATATTTTTTTTTTAAGCAATACTTGAGGTTTTATTTTCTTCCTTTGTGTCAGGTTTTTTTTTTCTATTGTCAAATAAGTGGTTTCAATACTATTTTCTGATTGCTTCATTAAAAAAAAAAATGTATACTTGTGAGACTCAAACATAACTTGGAAGAAGATAATTAAGATGGCATGGCTTTGAATTTTTTATTATCAAGGATGTTTGTGGTTCAAAAACTCCACGCTACAACATATCTTATCCACCCCTCAAGCCTTTGTGAAGACTAATTCCATACTGATTTAAACTGAAATAAATGTCCACATGAGAGGATTACACTGATTTCACTAAATCAGTACAGTGTTCTTGTGTAGACAGGCCTCAGTTCTTTTTTTTTTTTTTTTTTTTTTTTAAATTAGCTTAAAAAATCAAAACATTTTGAGTTCAGTTAATTGTTTTATAGAAGATATTGAGGGAAGAATACTAATGAAATCACTGGCACTAATCACCTGCTTTGAAGTTGACATCATTTCACCTGTTACTGAAAGCGTGACCATCTTATTGATGGTCATTTTAAAAAATTGGATGTAGGGGGCAGTGAACCATGACAGATACAGCAAAATTTGCCATTCTCATATTTAGGTGTGATTTTAATGGAATAACATCACTTTTGCTCTCAGTTGGAATCTGGGCTGATCAGGAACCAAAGCAGCTTCCAGCTTAATTTTAGCATTTCAGGGAGCTGCTCCTAGTTATGATCTTGTCTGGGCTACCTCTGAGCATCTTTGCAACCCAGAGCTGTGCAGAATTACTGAAGCACTGTGCGCTATATCTCTGCCTCTCCTGCCTGCAGGCAGTCCCCCACCTGTCGTACCAGAGCTTAGGAGATCTCTGAGTAAGACAGTGGTTAGGATTTATCTTATGGAGTACCTGTGTAGGGGGAATTCTCCCTTGGTCAGCTAAGGGGCTTTTATGGCCCCTACCCTCTGTTACAGCAGAGTTCAGGGACTGAGAGGAGAATCCTTCCCCATGGTTTTTAATTGTACTATTAGGTGTCTTACACACTGACAGTGTTTCAAAATAACAACTGTCAAACTGCAGTTTTTGATCTTCTTGAAGCAGTGAGGCTAAATGTGTTGTCACTCACAACCAATGCACTGTATGTTCTGTGGAGATGTACTTGCATACAAACATGAAGAACCCTGGCATAATTGTAACAAAAATTTACCATCCAGGCATAACATTTACCTCTGTGCCCATTGTTATGATAATGAAACAATTAATATTTTAATAGTTTATGGTGCTTAAAAAATACTCTTCCTGGTTGACTAGAATGTTTCAAGTCTAGTATAAAGAGAGAGGCTGCAAATAAAGTAAAAGCTTCTGACGGGTGATACACTCTGCTCCATTTTGGCATAGAAATTTATTTGCAAAGGATTTATCATACTCTTTCCACATGCACACTTATATCTAGATTGTGTGGAACTATTTAAAATGAACATGTTATAACTAATTCAAAAGAAAGAACTTTGTGGATGACGACTTCTAATCGGAAGTGTTCACTAATATTATATGACTTATTTCCTTGTTAAGCATTGTTTAATAATGCTCCTATGTTCACTTATTTCATATAAGCAGACAGGCATTCCTGTGAAAGTGACAGTAGAAAGTGCTTCTACATCTGAAACTGAAGAGACAGAAGGGGCTTTCGGGGACATTATGCATGATCCTGATTTGACAAAATCCCCAGTTAAAACTAATGTAAGACGATATCAGCAATTACGGGTAAGAAGAAATAATTTTGTTCTTCAGATTTTTCAAAAGATGAGTGCATAGAGCTTCTATTTTTCCAGAAAAATGGGTTTTTAGAATTAGATTTAAATGGGTAAATAATCACTGAAAGGGAACTCTGAATATTTGCATACTTCTGTTATACTATATGGTGTATATGCCTCAATTCAACGGGGTACTTTAAGCAACTCCTGTCCTCAGTGGTTAAGGAGAACAGTTAATCACCCTTCTCTTTACAACAACCTTTGACATACTTGAAGACTGTTATTCTGTCCCCCATCAGTCTTCTCTTCTCCAGACTAAACAAACCCAGTTTTTTCAGTGTTTCCTCACGGGTCATGTTTTCTAGACCTGTAATCATTTTTGTTGCTCTCCTCTGGACTTCCTTCAATTTGTCCTTTTTTTTCTGGAAGTGTTGTGCCCAGTACTGGACACAGTACTTCAGCTGAGGCCGTATCAGTGCTGAATAGAGTAGAAGAATTACTTTTCATGTCTTGCTTACATTCTAGCTAAATAATATGCTAGAATGATGGTTTTCGGGGTTTTTGTTTGTGTGTTTGTTTGTTTGTTTTTTTGGTGACAGTATTACGCATATTTAGTTTGTGAGCCACTGTAAGCCCCAAATTGTTTTCTGCAGTACTCCTTTCTAAGCAGTCATTTCCCATTTTGTGTTTGTGCAATTGATTATTCCTTCTGAAGTGGAATACTTTGCATTTGTCCTTGTTGAATTTCATCCTATCTAATTCAGACCATTTTTCTAGTTTGTCAAGATCATTTTAAATTTTAATCTTGTCCTCCAAAGCGCCTGCAACTCCTCCCACTTTGGTATCTTCTGTAAACTTTATAAGTACTTGCTGTGCCATTATCCAAATAATTTATTAAGATATTGAAGAGAACTGGACACAGGACAAGTCCCTGCAGAACCCCACCTGACATGCCCTTCCAGATAGAGAGTAATCAGTGATTCACAGTCAGAGTACAGTTTTCCAACCAGTTGCACATCTGCCTTATCATAGGTTTGTCTAGGCTATATTTCCCTAGTTTGTTTATGAGAAAGTCATGTGAGACAGTATCAAAAGCCTTACTAAATAAAGTCTAGATATATCCCGTCTACTTCTTTTCCCCAACCACAGGGCTTGTTACTCTGGCAGAGAAGCATATTAGGTTGGCTTGAGGTGATTTGTTCATGACAAATCCATGTTGTCTGTTACTTATCACTTTATTATCTTCTAGATGCTTACAAATTTGTCGTTGTTGTTTTTGCTCTGTTATCTTTTAGGGTACAGAAGTTAAGCTGACTGGTCTATAACTCCCTGGGTTTTCCTTAGTGCCCCCTTTCTATAGATAGGTACTATATTGCAATTTTTGAGTCTTCTGGGATCTCTCCCGTCCTTCACGAGTTCTCACAGATAATCACTAATGGCTTAGTGATCTTTTCAGCCAGTTCTTAAGTATTCTAGTCCTACTGACTTGAAGACATTTTAAGTAATTCTTAATTTGTGTTTTCCCCTAATCTAGCCTCAGATCCTACCCCATTTACACTGATGTTCACTGTTAGTTGTCTGATCACTGCAAACCTTTTTGGTGAAAATGAAACAAAGGCATTTAACGCTTCAGCTATTGCTGTGTTTTCTGTCTTTCACTTCTCATTTGAGGAATGAGCCTACCTTGTCCTTGGTCTTCCTCTTGCTTCTAATGTATTTGTAAAAATGTTTCATGATGTACGAATCTATTAGGGTATGTCTACACTACGAGGGTAATTCGATTTTACTTAAATCGAATATGTGGAATCGATATTGCAAAGTCGAACGTGTGTGTCCACACTAAGGACACACTAAGGACAGTAATTCGACTTTGTGAGTCCACACTAACGGGGCGAGCGTCGATATTGGAAGCGGTGCACTGTGGGCAGCTATCCCACAGTTCCCGCAGTCCCCGCTGCCCATCGGAATTCTGGGTCGAGCCGCCAATGCCTTCTGGGTAAAAAAAATTTGTCGTCATCCGTCCGTCACTAACGCCCTCCCTCCCTCCATGAAAGCGCCGGCGGGAAATCAGTTCGCGCACTTTTCTGGTCAGTGACAGCGCGGACGCCACAGCACTGCGATCATGGATCACGCTGCGACCATCGCTGCACTTGTGGCCGTTCTCAACACCTCGCAGCTTATCATACACCTTTCCCTGAGGCAGATGCAGAGAAATCGGGCGAGGAGGCTACGGCACCGCCGTGAGAGCCTGAAGTCGGAGAGTGGCACAGAGCTGTCAGAAACCACGAGCCCCAGCGCCCAGGACATGACGTTGGCAATGGGGCATGTGGATTTTGTTGAACGGCGATTCTGGGCCCGGGAAACAAGCACGGACTGGTGGGACCGTATAGTGCTTCAGGTCTGGGATGAATCCCAGTGGCTGCGAAACTTTCGCATGCGGAAGGGGACTTTCCTCGAACTTTGTGAGTTGCTGTCCCCTGCCCTGAAGCGCAAGGACACCCGCATGCGAGCAGCCCTCACTGTCCAGAAGCGAGTGGCCATAGCCCTCTGGAAGCTTGCAACGCCGGACAGCTACCGGTCAGTCGCGAACCACTTTGGTGTGGGCAAATCTACCGTGGGGGTTGTTGTCATGCAAGTAGCCAAGGCAATCGTGAAGGTACTGCTCCCAAAGGTAGTGACCCTGGGAAACGCGCAGGTCATCATAGATGGCTTTGCCGCGATGGGATTTCCAAACTGCGGAGGGGCTATCGATGGGACTCACATCCCTATCCTGGGACCGGACCACCAGGCCAGCCAGTACATCAATAGAAAGGGCTACTTTTCAATGGTGCTGCAAGCACTGGTGGACCATCGGGGACGGTTTACAAACATCTACGTCGGATGGCCGGGCAAGGTTCATGACGCTCGTGTGTTCAGGAACTCTGGTCTGTTTAGACGGCTGCAGGAAGGTATTTACTTCCCAGACCACAAAATAACTCTTGGGGATGTGGAGATGCCTACAGTCATCCTCGGGGACCCAGCCTACCCGCTAATGCCCTGGCTCATGAAGCCCTATACTGGCGCCCTGGACACAGAAAAAGAACTGTTCAACTACCGTCTCAGCAAGTGCAGAATGGTGGTGGAGTGTGCTTTTGGCCGTCTCAAAGGGAGATGGAGAAGCTTACTCACTCGCTGTGATCTCAGTGAAACCAATATCCCCATCGTTATTGCAGCTTGCTGTGTGCTCCACAATCTATGTGAGAGCAAGGGGGAGACCTTTATGGCGGGGTGGGAGCTAGAGGCAAATAGCCTGGCTGCTGATTACGTCCAGCCAGACAGCCGGGCCATTAGAAGATCCCAGCGGGACGCCCTGTGCATCCGGGAGGCTTTGAAAGCTAGGTTCCTGAGTGAGCAGGGCAACCAGTGACTTTTCAGTTTGTGGACAGAGAAGCTGAACCTGCCCCCGTTTCTTTGCCCAGTTCATTTTGACTATCCTCTCCAGTTACATACCCCCTTCACCCCCTTCCCCTTCCCAAAAAATAAAATCATTTCGATTTTGTTAATGAACAGCGTTGTCTGTATTGCTGTTTTCGCGGGAATATTTTAAACCGGGGACGCAGACTGTGGCGGGGGGCGGGTTCAGTGTTCTGATGCAAATGATGCTTCTAAACTCCCGGAATGACAGGCTCCGCACTGGTGGACTGGTTATTTCAATGGAGAACATGAAAAACACCTCCCAGACTGACCAGGGTAACCAGTGACTGCACTGTGTATGTGTCCTGATGCTGGACCTGACACCGCCTCTGTACCCTGCTAAAGGTCACTGTCCTGCCCAATTACCAAGCCCCTTCCCCCCCTCCAGACAGACTCTCCCTCAAAAGAACCTGACTGAAACAGTAATGGAGAGAAACAAACATTTTATTGCGAACCAGACATGAAACGTGGGGTGTGAAACTTGGACGGGGGCTTCTGTGAGGTGGGTGGGAAAGGACTTATGAAATTTTGGGGAATGTCAGCCTTCTAGTGCTAGAGCAGTCTGCAGGGGTTGACTGAAAGTTTTAACGGCCCTTGCCGCCCCTCCTTCTTTGGAGTTTGGGTGAGGGTGGTGTGGGACTTGGTGGCGGGTGAGGGCGGTTACAGATAGACTGCAGCGGGGCTCTGTCCTCCTGCCTCCGGTCTTGCAGAACATCCACAAGGCGCCGGAGCGTGTCCGTTTGCTCCCTCATTAGTCCAAGCAGCTTTTCAGTAGCCTGTTGGTCCTCCTGACGCCACCTCTCCTCCCGTTCCATGACTGCTCGGTGCATTTGTGACAAGTTCTCCCTCCACTGTGTCTGCTGGGCTGCCTGGGCTCGGGAGCAGTCCATTAGTTCTGAGAACATGTCTTCACGCGTCTTCTTCTTCCTCCGCCTAATCTGCGCTAGCCTCTGGGAGTGTGCTGAGAGGCTGGGTTGGGAGACAGTCGCAGATGTGTCTGTGTGAATTGTGAAAAGGGAGTGAATTCCTGAGACAGATAAATGAAATTGTATACAAAGAACCTAGTCTTTCTCCGTGAACAAGACCATGCACTGCACCTCTCACATGCGCACTCAGGACAAGGTCGAATTTTCGGCCGTCGCCTTCAGTGCCTGTGGACTTGCGGAGGTCTTGGACTGTTCAGAGAACTGTGGCTGGAGACCTGAACTTCTGGAGCGGGCAATAATGGTAAGCCGCAGACTTGTGGCTGCTTAAAACTCCAGCAGTAGCACTGGCCTCCTTTCACATTGAAAGCAATGCCAGTCTCTGCTGCCAGCAATCAGGACAGCATCAACTCTGCCCCTGTCCCACCCCCTCGCGGCTGTCCCAGGGAAAGATCCCTGTATGCTGCCCCTCTCCCTCCACCGCGTGGCTGTAAAGCAGTCCCAATACTAACATTCCCCTCCCTAATTCAAAGCAGGGCGTCATGAGCGACATCACCCTCCTGAGGATCCCGGACACCCAGAGAGAACGCATGCTGCGGGAAAGCATGCAGAAACCGGGGCCGTATGCCGCCAT